TTTTTCACTCATTTGTTCAGACACCTGCAGTTGGTTGCTAATGCGCATGTTTAATTGCCTTAACTTAAAATTATAAAATCCCTAAAAGGATGTTTTTATCCTGCATGAACTCCTTGCATTCGGCGGGTCGCCTCCAAGCCAGCCCCCTCTTGGGAGAGGTCTGCTTTTAAATATGGGAAGCACGCTCTTCAGAGAAAATGCCACGTCTGAGCCATCAGCAGAATCCCTGGGCAGTCCCTGGGAAGTCTCTCCTGTCAGAACCCAGTGTTACTCAGGAACTAGAGCTTATCCGTGTTTCTTGAAGGCCATCAGGTCTGGCCAAAAGTCTGTTCGATCCACCCAAAGATGGCCTTTATTCTTAGGCTCCATCCAGTCACACACTTGTGCTCATGCCTGCTCTCTGCAGCCACAGAAGATGTCAGAACCGCGTTAAAACAGCCCAGCCACTTGCCGCAGGACAGGGCGTTTTTGGCTCATGCCTTGTTATTTGTCCCTCCAGTGGTTCCTAGCTGCTGTGACGTCAAGGCTGCCATTCAAAGCAGAGAAAAAGGAAACGGTGCCTTTCTTTGCATCAGTAGCCCGGACAAGCTGCTGTTTCTCAGGCATCCAGAATGCTCTCTGTCTGGCAGAACTGTGCATTCCATGCCTGGGTGACCTGGTTCAATGGCGGAAACCGCTGTCCCTGAATGTGCTCCAAAACAAGCATTCCACCCGAGCTTCCCAGCACAGGCTTCACTGTCCTGAGGACTGGGAGCGGACAGTAGCATGGCTGTACATTGTTGGCTTGACTTCCAGCCTCTGTTTAGAGTCTTAAAAGAGAATGTGATTGATGGACGCTGCAGCAACATCATGATGCAGCCTTTGGGGCCAGTGCTGCAAAGTCCTTTTTGGGAAACCAGCGCTATGTTATTAGTAATCTTTTGGAATCATAGAAGTTCAGAACTGTTGAATTGCTACCTCCTTCCCATCCCACTTCTGTTCATCCCATGCCCCGAGATCAGATGTCTGATTCTAGAAAGTCTCCTGTGTATGTTTACATATTAATTTTGCACTGCGCATTATTGAGCGTGTGTCCTTTGCACCTCTGTGCAAAAGAATCACATCTACGTAATGAGTAGATCACAGGCTCGGGGTTATTCTTTTTTTTTTTTTTTTTTAATATTTTATTGTACTTCAGGTGAAGGCTTACAGAACAGATAGTTTCTCATGTAACAGTAACACACATGCTGTTTTATGACATTGGTTAACTCGGGGTTATTCTTAATGAAGAATAACAACTTTCGCCTTTGAGGAAAGGAGCTATCTCAAAATATCATAGAACTGTCTTTAGGACAAAGAGTCTACAAGAACCACGGCCTTATCTACCCTGAGACCAGAAGAACTAGATGGTGCCTGGCTACCACTACCGACCGTTCTAATCAAGACCACAATAGAGCAGCCCAGAGAGAATGGGAGAAAAATGTGAACAGAACCTCAAATTCCTGAGGGAAAAAAAAAGCAGGCCTACTGGATTGGTTGAGACTGGAGGACTCTCCCAGACTGTTGACCTGAGATACTCTTTAAACCTTGAACTGAAACTAACCCCACAGGCCACATTATAGCTAAATAACAAATTGGCTCAAAAAAAAGAATGAATATCACCCGTAAGTACTGTGCTCCTTTAAAAAGCATGAGACCAAACGGTCAACAATTACTTTAAAACAACCGTGAGAATGAAGGGGGTGAGGAAACTAGATTAATGGAAATGGAACAAACAGAACAGAAATAATGAGAATGTTCACGTAGTCTGAAGAATGTAACCTATGTCACTGAACAGCTTAAGTAGGAATTGTTGAATGGGAACCTAAACTGCTGTGTAAACCTTCACCAAAAACACGATAAAATATTATTTTGAAGAACTGTGTGTGTGTATGTGTAGGATAGAACTGCTCTCTCTTCGGGAACAGGGAAAACAAACAACAAATCTCTCAAAACCAAAAGTTCACTAATAATATTCTGCTCACTTATAGCGAATGCTTCAGAATTCACTGATTGAAGAATGGAGTTTCCTGAGCCCATGCCTCCTCGGGTTTCTTTCTGGCATGGCAGGCAACTATTTTATTAGATTCTGGGGGATGGACACTGTGGTCACTAGAAAAAACAAGGGTACAGCAACTACACTTTGTATTCCATAATTGTCTTGGCTAAGGTAGTATGCATTTCAGGTTTTATGTTACAAATCCCATTAAATGTTTGTATCTCAAAATAGCCATCCTCTGGACTTTTGATTGAAGGATATTTGCAGGAACCAAAGCCATTTAATATATATGCAAGTACATGTATACATTTTTGTCAGGAAGGGATCTTGATACAGCAGGACCTTTTTAAAGTAGGTTATGGTAAGACAGAACTCCCCCTGGTTATAAATTGTCTTCTGAAAAAAGGTGGAGCTCTTTAGATGGTTGGTTAAAGACAGGATGGATGGAGTGAGTCAACATACAGTTGGGGTTTACACTGAAGGTTTACTAGACTACAGTCTTAAGTTTTGCCTAGACAGTCAGGTTTGCCCAGTGCTGTGTGTTTGTTGAGTGACTGATAGATACAGTTGGGGAATGGGACATGGAGCTCATGAGCATGGTCTTTTGTGGGTGCTTTGGACCTGGTGAGCCTGAGCATCCTGAAATGAGAGGGACATTGGGGACATTTACTTTCCATTTGTGGGCTGGAGAGTTGGTCTTTATTTTGTTGACTACTCTCTGAATATCAATTAATTCTTTATTCGTACTTTTTCTAATACTGCATTTTAGGAGGTCTTCCTTCGCCATGAGTCGTTGGTTTTTGTTGTTGTTGTTTGATTTGTTTTGTCGTTGTTGTTATCTGAAGAGAACTAGTGCCAGGAAAGCATTACTACTTCAAGAAAATCAACTCAAAACTGAATCAAACATTTCAAACAAACAGTAAACAATTTTTAAATGATTTTATTGGAGCTAAGTCTAAAAGTTAAAAAAAAGTTGAAGCTAAGTTTGTTTTACTTATTTGACAAAAATGTGGGATATGATGCAACAATGTGTGATTTCTTTGAAATAACAAAGATTGAATATTGACTTCTGTGGCAGAAATATTGAGAGGGTGATTTTTGTACAAGCATTCTACTTTTCCCCAAGGGCCTCTCTCAGTCTTTTGATATATAGACCATTCTTTTTGGAACAGTCTATGTGTAGTGTAACCACCCTGTTGACTGTCTCTTCTTCAGTTGCTAACTGCTCCAACTCTCTCTTTGATCCCTATGTGTCAATGACTGTCTGTGACTCAAGCAGTTCTCCAGTACCGCTTTCATCAACGGCATGAAAATCCGTAATTTCACTTTACAAGTGAGCTGTGTTGTATTTGCATTTTCTCCTGTGATACTAGCCAACCAAGAAAGTGAGCAGGCATAGATGCTGATATTAATAAGGACTAAACATCGGTGATTTTTTTTTTTTATTAATGGACTTTGCTCCCTTATGCAACCCGATAACCACAGAGACTCAGATAATGATTACTCAAGCAATGAGGGAGCCCCCCACCCCATATTATATTACATTTAAAGAACTCAATGTGGTTTAAAAAAAAAAACCAAAATCACTGCTGTCAAGTCGATTCTGACTCATAGCAACCCTATAGGACAGAGTAGAACTGCCCCATAGGGTTTCCAAGGAGCAGCTGGTGGACTCGAACTGCTGACCTTTTGGTTAGCAGTCGAATGTTTAACCACTGCCACCAGGGCTCCTTGTGTGGTTTAGTGGGCTGTATAATCAACCACATGTAGATTTCTACGCCGCTCCTGACACTGAACTAGGTTATACAACCTTGGCTGAAATATTATCCTGGAACCCCTTCTGATCTGTAATATAGAGTGATAAAACCACCCTCCCACAGTGGTCAGAGATCAGAGCCCATCTATGCAAAACTGCTGGCGTAAGGCACAGTGCATTTAGCTCAAGAACTGGTCCCTGTTAGGGTTGTTAGTGCCTTTGTGTACTGCCTTACACTTTATGTGAGATTCCCACATTTTATTAAATCCTCATAAAAATCCAGAGGCTGAAGAGCTTAAACTGTATCCTCTAGGCGTGGCAGAGCCACTGAAGATTTTCAAGGAGTGCAGTAACATGAAGAAACTAAATTTTAGAAGATTCTGTTTGATGACCGTGTACATAATGGATTGTTGTTGTCAGGTGCCATCAAGCCAATCTGCAACTCATAGCAACCCCATGTGACAGCAGAACTGCCCCGTAGGGTTTCCTAGGCTGTAATGTTTATGGGAGCAGATCTTCACGTCTTTCTCCCATGGAGCCACTGAGTGGGTTTGAACTGCCAACCTTTTGGTTAGCAGCCGAGCATTTAACCGTTCTGCTACTAGGGCTCCTTACATAATGGACTAAATCATAAAATTTGATAGCCATTTTCTTCATGCTATAGATAGGAACACTGAGACATAAGGAAGTTAGGTAACTTTCTCAGGATCCCACGGTTTGTGTTGGGCAAGATACACCTAGAACCTGTTGTTGTTGGTGTTAGTTGCCATTGAGTTGATTCCGACTCATGGCAACCGCATATATTAGAGAATAGAGCTGCGCTCCGTAGGATTTTCAAGGCTGTAAGCTTTAGAACTCAGATTGCCAGGCCTGTCTTTCGAGACACCTCTGGGTGGGTTCGAACCACTAACCTAGAATCCAATTTTCGTATCTCCTACTATGTGTTTCCACCACACACTTGCTCATTGGCTAGTGAGCCAGTTAAAAAGGCTGTCATACTTGTATAGGAACAAAGTGATAAAGGCCCAACATGTTTATCGGAAACGGGAATGGGAAAGAGAGTACCAAGGAAGCAGATACTGAAAACAGGTGTGGACTAGACTCAGTGACTGATTGGATTGGGTTGGTGAGGACAGGAGTCCAGGACCCAAACTTTCAAGCTGGTGAGATGGCCATACAGTTAATTCAACTAAAATAATCAGAATTTGTTGATTTTATTTTTTCCAGATGAATTTAAAGGACTGGCCTGTGCAGGTGGAACTCTATTGAAGATAACAGGGTTTAAAGGGCAGGAGAAGAGACCAGTGCTAAAGAAATAAATTCAAGACTCTAAGAAGAGGAGTTGAAATGATTGTACTACGTAAGTCTATGCATGTGTGTGTGTGCCCGTATTCTTAACTGGAGTTTGTGGCATATTCTCAGTTCAAGACTGAGCCATGTTGTTACATTGTAGCCAGTTGCCCAGTTGTAATCACAGACTGTTACACCTTCATCAGAAGAAGAACTATGCTGTAGAGTTCTCTGTGTGGTTTGTGTGTTTGTTTTGCTGGATGCATCCTGCTGTGGCACCGAGAGACAGACTCTGCTGAGCCCTGTTTTGTAAACAAATCTGTTCGTGCACGCTTTCTTCCACCATCATGTGTGTGCACTGGCTCTGCTGTTCCCACCCGACACGCACGGGAGCTAGGAATTTAGAAGCTCAGTTGTTTTCTTTTAGAAGTAGGCAGGCATCGGACAGAAAAGTGTGCACGTGCAATTAAGATGCACACATGTACACTATGGAGGTCTTGGGACCTTCACAGTTTTAACTCTGGGCCATGGCGTCTGCAGGTGTACTGCAGCCAGGTACACACAGTACCCTGGGAGGCATCTGTACAGCCAGCCGCCAAAAACTAACTGTTGATCGAGCCCAGTAAAAAAGAAAGTTCTTTTTACCCTTAAAGTTCATCCTGTGGGCCATAGCTGGGATTAATTAGCCAAGATGATAAAAAGTAACAATACTTGTTTTCCCAAGAAGAGGTGGTCTATCCCTTTCCTAGAGTGGAATATGAATTTATAATGATATATATACATAAGTCACTTCCTACCTGTAGATTTTTGTGTTTTATGTTACTCTTGTAGCCAGGTTCAAGTTTTTATGACAGGAAGTATGTGAATGGTTATGACAGGAGCAAATAACATTTGATTTTATGATTATGGCACGGGAAATAACTTCTCAGGCCAAGTAAATCTTTGGGGAAAGAAGTGCCAGCTTAAAATTTAACGTACATAAATTGCCCAGCATCTTGAATACAGTTGCTTTGCTCTCTTAGGTGGAAATAAAGCCAAAATGGTCTCATTTTCTTTTAACTTTTCTTGTCAACCAGTGTCTGTGTTTTAGGAAGAGAAATTTTTAAGTATTTGGGCGTGCCCCAACCTGATACCCATAAAACCCATTGCCGTTGAGTCGATGCCGACTCATAGCGACCCTATAGGACAGCGTAGAACTGCCCCATAGGGTTTCCAAGGCGCACCTGGTAGATTCGAACTGCTGACCTTTTGGTTAACAGCCAAACTCTTAACCACTAAGCCACCAGGGTTTCCCAACCTGATACAGAAACATTAAAAAAATTCCAAGAGAAAATGATAAGTCCAGACTTCGTGCAGAGACAAGTACCACTAAAGACTCCAAGACCCTAAGTGAGAAATTTTTTTTGAAGAACCAAAAACCTGTTGCCGTCGAGTTGACTCTGACTTGTGGTGACCCCACGTATGTAGAGTAGAACCACTCCATAGGATTTTCATGGCTGTGACCTTTTAGAAGCCGAGCCTTTCTTCTGAGATGCCTCTGGATGGGCTTGAACCGCCAACCTTTCAGTTAGCAGCTGAGCTCTTGCTTAACCATTGTGCCGCTCAGTTGTCATTAATTGTCTTCACATTCTGCAGACAGCATATTTGCAGTGTCATGATTAGAAATCTGTCTTGGGCTTGTAGTGCTTTGTAGTTTTCATAAGCACTGTTTCACTTGAGATGCACCCCAGCCTGGGTGCAGCTGGAGCAGAGTGGTCAAGGTCAAGCTTCCTGACTTTGAATCTGGCTTTTCCCCTCCTTATGTGTGACCCTGGGCAAGTCCTCGAGTTTCTGGGCCTTAGTGTTCTTATCTGTGGGATGAGATTAATAACAGAGCTTAACTTGTAGAGTTGCTGTGAAGATAAAGTGAGTAGACACATATAGGGCTCTTACAACTGCCTAAGTAGTGTCAGTTTTCTGTTAATATCACTGATGACCAACCCAGCTTAAAACCCTCTCGTTCAAACACATGGAAACTGAATAACACCTTGCTCAAAAACTCTGCTGGGTTATAGAAGAAATTAAGTATGGAGTAAAGAAATTCATAGAACCAAACGAGAAGGAAAACACATCCTACCAGAACCTTTGGGACACAGCAAAAGCAGTGCTCTGAGGTCAGTTTATAGCAATAAATGCACACATCCAAAAACAAGAAAGGCTTATAATCAAAGCACTAACCCTACAGCTGGAACCAGTAGAAAGAGAGCAGCAGAAGAAGCCTACAGGTGCCAGAAGGAAGGAAATAATAAGAATTAGAGCAGAATTAAATGAAATAGAGAACAGAAAAACAATTGAAAGAGTTAACAAGTCCAAAAGTTGGTTCTTTGAAAAGATCAACAAAATTGATTAAACCATTGGCCAAACCGACAAAAGAAAAACTGGAGAGGCAGCAGATAACCCGTATAAGAAATGAGATGGGTGATATCACAACAGATCCAACTGAAATGAAAAGAATCACAACAGAATACTGTGAAAAATTGTACTCTGACAAATTTGAAAACCTAGAGGAAATGGACAAATTTCTAGAAACTCACTACCTACGTAAATTAACACAAACAGAGGTAGAACAACTAAATAAAAAAAGAAGAGATTGAAAAGGTTATTAAAAAACTGCCAACAAAAAAAAAGCCCTGGCCCGGATGGCTTCACTGGAAAATTCTACCAAACTTTCAGAGAAGAGATAACACCACTTCTACTAAAGGTATTTCAGAACATTGAAAAGGATAGAATACTCCCAAACTCATTCTATGAAGCCAGCATAACCCTGATACCAAAACCAGGTAAAGACACCACAAAAATAGACAATTACAGGCCGATATCCCTCATGAACATTGACGCAAAAATCCTCAACAGAATTTTAGCCAGTAGAATTCAGCAACATACCAAAAACATGATTCACCACGACCAAGTCGGATTTATACCAGGTATGCAGGGATGGTTCAACATTAGAAAAACCATCAACGTAATCTATCACATAAATAAAACAAAAGACAAGAACCATGTGATCTTATCAATCGATGGAGAAAAGGCATTCGACAAAGTCCAACACCCATTCATGATAAAAACTCTCAACAAAGTAGGAATACAAGGGAAATTCCTCCATGTAATTAAGGGCATTTATACAAAACCAATAGCCAACATCATCCTGAATGGAGAGACTTTGAAAGCATTCCCCTTGAGAAGAGGAACCAGACAAGGATGCCCTTTATCACCACTATTATTCAACATTGTGCTCGAGATCCTAGCCAGAGCAGTTAGGCTAGAAAAAGAAATAAAGGGCATCCATATAGGTAGGGAAGAACTCAAAGTGTCTGTATTTGCAGATGATACAATCTCATACACAGAAAACCCCAAGGAATCCACAAGAAAACTACTGTAACTAATAGAAGATTTCAGCAAAGTTTCAGGATATAAGATACACATACAAAAATCAGTTGGATTCCTTTACACCAACAGAGAGAACCTTGAAGAGGAAGTCACCAAGCAATACCATTTACAGTAGCCCCCCAAAAGATAAAATACTTAAGACTAAATCTAACCAGAGATGTAAAAGATCCTTACAGAGAAAACTACAGGACATTACTGCAAGAAACTAAAAGAGACCTGCATAAGTGGAAAAATACACTTTGCTCATGGATAGGTAGACTCAACATAGTGAAAATGTCAATTCTACTCAAAGCAATCTACAGATACAATGCAATCCTGATCCAAATTCCAGCAGCGTTTTTTAATGAGATGGAGAAACAAATCACCAACTTCATATGGAAAGGGAAGAGGCCC